TCTTCATACAATGTTTCATCTATCGTGCATTGTGAACGTAAAGAAATAACTTGGTATAAGAATGATAAAATTATAATCTAAATTACCAATATGTAGGCAATGAATTCGTTTACTGCATTTTTTTGCCTCGATATGGAAGTAATCAAGTAATTTAGTTGATTATGGTAACTTTAATGAGCTGGGAAAAATCCATCTTGATCAACCTATTAAAATGATCATTATCTTAAATGGGAATTTAAAGTAATTTGTGATTTCTGGCTATTTAATGAAATGAGTCGAGGTTAATTGACACTACTTCATCACGTCACGTCACATCGTCACGTCACTGTCACCGCCACTTCACACCATTCATTACGTCACACCAAATCACATCATGTCACGCCAAGTCACATCATGTCACGCCAAGTCACATCATGTCACGCCATTCATCATGGCACACCAAATCACATAATGTTATGCCAAGTCACATTATGTCACCCCAGGTCACATCATGTCACGCCAAGTCACATCATGTCACGCCATTCATCATGGCACACCAAATCACATCATGTTATGCCAAGTCACATCATGTCACGCCAAGCCACATCACGTCACATCATATCACGCCAAGTCACATCATGTCACCCCCGTCACATAAAATCACGTCACTTCACATCCTCTTCGTCCAGATCTCGCTCATCCCTCAAGTAATTCTGGCGGTCATGACACTCGTGTTAGATGGAGAGGAATAAGTCAGCGCTAAAAAGAAAATTATATGGATATAAAAAAAAGCCCTGAGGAAAAGATTAGTTAAATGGGGAATTCTGGAGTCCAAAAAAAAAGATACACAATGGATACACAAAGCCCTGTGGAAAAAGATAAGTTTAAAGGGGGACTTCTGGAAATCTCGATAGAATATTGAATGAGGGCGAGGTTATTTTTTTCAGTATTCGAATTTATGTTTTCATTAAAATAGAGAGAAAAAAGATCTAAAGGCACCGTCACATCAACGCTAAAATCTTCTTGTAGAGAATCCATGACGTCATATGATGGATCGTATTTGAGGTGACGTTGTCGCGTGGAAATGGCCATTTATTTACCTGAAATAAATATTGACGTGACGTGATTGTGACGGTGTGGTGTGAATCAGACCTTAAGTGACAGTATAAGGGCGGCGGTGAAGCTGTGACAGGCTGCGTGCGTTCAAAACAGTTGTCAAAATCCAGCTCTTGCACCACTTAAGAACTCGAAGCTCGCAAGAATCTGCAAGTCCTGCATTATGGGTCGAAAGTTCTAATTCCTTGAGCCAACTTTTCCGTGGGGGGGGGGGGGAAGGTTAACGAGTGTTCACAGCCTTTGCTCGTTTTAAGCGATCCTCGAGTGTTCTCTGTGAAAAAAAAAAGAAATCTTTCGCGATGTCAAAGATCAATCAGAAAAACGGCAAATATCAAAGTCAATTAAAAAGGTAATAAAACTGATATGTTAGTTGGACTATGCGGCGGTTGTTGATCTATACAGTTTATCAGAAATAGTTGTTTTCATTTGGTTTTATTTTGCTAGCTTGTTACTTTACGTTCTAATCGATTATCTGAAGCAAATTTTGCCGTTCCCCCCCCCCCCCCCCCCACCAAAAAAATGTCTGACTGTTATATTCATCATTATTCAGTTTTTCAGTTTTTTTCAAAACCAATTTAGTTTTGATTTTGGAAATATCTAAATTGAATATGAATGAATAGAGTAAAGAATATAAGTTCTTTCTTTAAAAGAAAAATACATAGTGAAAGACATTAATGCAGATTAATTACAGATTATTATTTACACTGTTCAAGAGTAATGCATCGCAAACATAATTAAGCGGTATTATTTATGATCATGAAAAGGATATGGATATATGTAATAGAAACGATATCCAGAGAAAATATGACATCTTTAAGGTAAATAAATGATAATAACTGCCAGTGTTATAAGTTCTATTAACAATATCTTTTATTTTCATAAAAAAATAATTCGGCAAAACAGCAAACGCTTTCATGGGGAGAAGACACGCAGTGTATATATATATATATATATATATATATATATATATATATATATATATATATATATATATATATATATATATATATATACATACACACACACACACACACACACACACACACACACACACACACACACACACACACACATACACACACACACACACACACACACACACACACACACACACACACACACACACACACACACACACACACACACACACATACACACACACACACACACACACACACACACACACACACACGCATATATATATATATATATATATATATATATATATATATATATATATATAGAGAGAGAGAGAGAGAGAGAGAGAGAGAGAGAGAGAGAGAGAGAGAGAGAGAGAACAACAATACCATGCATGATAAAAAAAAGAGATCTCTCCAACAATTGAACAGTCGGACCAAAAACTCTTCCTTCTTCACCGGTGGTCTTCACAGGGGGGGGGGGGTGG